TGCTGAATGTTTTTCGTTGTGAATCGTATGAGTTTTTTTCGAACGAAACTCTTCACTATTAATTTAGAAAACAGATTTTTCTAGTACCTTCTCGAAATTTTTTATGTTAAATCGATTCAGACTTTTCGTTAAAGCTTTTTAAAGGCCGCTACGGCGTAAGGCACATGGCCACGTAAACCAGTACAATGTTTCGCATTGACTGTAAGACAAAATAATGTGATCAAGCACTGTCTCAGTCAAGAAAGTTTTTTGTTCTGTTTCAGCCCATCAAACTAAGTGATGGTTAATAATTTTTTCCCCTGTTATTGGATTTGACTCAACGGCGAATTTCAGCCAAAGCGTATTGATGCAACGCTTGTACGAAATCGTATTAATCAGTTTTTAAGCCATTTCTTTCCTGGAGAAAATCGCAAGTCGCTTCGTTTAGTGGCTTTACGTTCGGTGTCTAGACGACATCTTAAATTGTGCGAAGCTTTTTCAAGGACTTCTTTCCCTTTATATTTAAAATCCTAATTCTTCCGTGGTAATGCAGACTTGTAAAAACTTTTGTTCTCACGTGTCATGGCATATTTTCATATTTTACGATATACTTTGCTATCGAAGTATGCAAATTTACAATTGTTTTATTTTCATTTCAGCTCTGAGGGCACGATCTGCGAACTAGGGCAATCTTGTGATGCCGCGGTTCTCAGTTTGACCAAGAAAGTTGCTGATAATATTGGTCACCTATTGCTATCACCCGTCGAGCATCGCTTCTCACATCTGTGCCCGTCTTGTCGATGAGTCATTATTGCTGTTCTCTCTTCAAAAACTACAAGCAGTAAATGCATATGATGTCCATCGGTCATGCCATCGTATAAACGGAACAAATCTGAATAATTAGGTGAATTGTAATTAATGCAAGTTCTGCCCTCGCATTGTAACCGTTTGTTGCGTTTGATTTTAATGCGATAGCATAGAGAGAACACCAGCCCCTGAAACAGCGTTCGTAATGAACTAAAGTGGCAGTAAGGAACAAAATGATGCATCTGGCACTGCAGGAGCCTGAGTCGTGGTCTGCTTGAATGACACCTTTCACTTCCGAGGCAATTAGAAGCAAGGAGGCAATGAAATCCTTCTGAAATTTGGTCTTGGACGAGTTATACGTTACTGTTGCGTTCAGTTGAATTTTCTTCGCGTTGGAGTTGGGAGAAGAGAATTTATCAACTGATGGTTTCTTTCAGCTTGTAGGTTTCACAGAACGAATCTGATGGATTCTAAGAGTATGTATTTAAGTTTGAAAACAACCGAAGACCGACGAACGTATGTATCGAACTGAATTCCCCCACTGATATTCTACGATGCGAACAGATGTTTTGTACACAGTGTCTTACAGGTATCCTAGTTTGCTAGAAGCAAAGTACCGTGACGATGTCTTGCGTCTCTAGAAAAGTAGCAGAAAATTTTCATGCAGTAAAATCTCCTTAATTGGAAATTTGGGTGTAATTTGAGATTTATTAAAATTTGAGATCGAATAGAGAAATTTCAAACAAAAGCACGTAAACAATTCAAAAGCGTTAACAGTCATAATTCGAGAAAAAGTTAACCAAGTTCCCATTTTTATGAATATATTTTGTTACTACATGTAACATGATTTTGTGGTTTAACACTGGATAAAGTGTGATGGATTTATGCATTTAATCGTGCGACAGTAGAATTAGAGCTTTTACCTGGAGGAGAAGCTGGGTTCTATGTTACATTGTTGAGGATGGGCCCAGGCTTTCAGTTGCATTTGGGACTCATTTCCGATCTTCCGCTTTATTAGCTGTAAGGATGATTTAGCGACGTGTTGCGATTATTTTAACCCTGCTCATTCGTGATCTGGTGGGACCATAGCACTTTGAAGATACTTCGTGTATAACGTTGGTGGAAGCTGTCCTAACGCAGTTAACGATGGGTTAAGGATAAGGGATGTTTCAAGACTGTACATGAGCATTACAAGTTCGGTTGATTTCAGAATCTGTTCTTATAGTCCGATTTTTCCATGTGTCATAGAGCTTGGCATGATCCACTGATGTCAGTCTGATACGCTGATTTACTTCAAGATCAGTGCCGTCATTGTAGTCATCACACATATCAGAGGTACTTGAACAGGTCCAGCCCATCTGTTGTAGTCCAGCACATGGTTATTTTAGGGATAGCAATTTCGGCCGGCGCCCTCATAATCTTCGACTGTTTTGCTTTTAGTTTTTGTCTGACTCATAGCGGTGTTGCTTAGGTTTTCGGTGAGTCGCTCAGCAGCATGATTTGATCAGCATACTCAAGTTCCTTTGGCAACACGGCCGGATATCATGAGTTGCGTCGCTGACTGACGGTCAGTCCCTACTTGTGATTGGGGGATGACGCTGTTCCGCAGAACATGGACTGTCGTGATGTTAAACAAAAAGCGAGAGATCACCTTCCTTGAAGAACTACTCTGGCTAGCCTGAGTGAATCCGACAATGGTCCTTCAGTTCGTACGGCCGGTTCGTCTGTCCGTTCAAACCTTCAGTAAGGTACAGTATACCCAGAACGAAGATTCTTTGGTTAGATTCACTAATAGCGGAAAAGTGGCGTTCATAGGCTAGCATAGAGAACTAGTATAATTTCTATTTTGTGCAAATATTTTAAACACGTGATCAAGCTTGTAGTCAAGATGCTTTAGCGGTTCTTTTCTTTGAGCGCTAGATTTATGAAAACGGCATTTGCAGAACAGAGTGCTGCCGTTGCTTACGTAAGTTTCCAGTACCCGCTGTGCATACCTAGCGTCCTTTGAGACATTCGAACAAGGTTATACGTCCAGTAGAACGCTGATACATACTGTGAGAATTCAGATGTTCTTTTTGACCTTTCATTAACCAGCGAAGTCTGAGTGAGGTTGTGCTAATCTGCTGTTTTTTGATCCGTCAGTTAAAGTTGCAGTGCATTTTCCGTTGGGTGGAGCATGCACTTAAATTTCATGACGACAAACGATAAAGTAAGGCTTCAAGCCAACTAAAGCTGGCTGTAATAATACTAGTGCACCAGCGCTATCACACCAAGGTAACGCGAACGCTTCACAGGGCTGCGGTTTGCCTTGACCCACATCATTGTTGTCTTTTCGATGTGATCACCAAATCACCAGACGGTCCTACACGTGTTTTTGTTGTTGTTGTTATTGATGATGAGTGAGCAGTGCGAGTCGTTACGCGGAGGTAAGCAGCAAAGTCTCGTTGTTCCTCACTTCTAATCGGATCCATTGTATCTGAAGACCTGCTTGCTCGAATGTGTAAAAGCCTAACAGCGTTGACTTCAACAACCTGCCTGTTTGTGACTAGTAAAGTATATCCACCACGGTGATGCGCGTTAATCCGAACCTATCACTAAAGAAACATATTTTTATAAATACATATGGTTTTTAGAACAATATTGTGGTAGAGTATGATTTGTACATGTAATTACACCTTG